CATTCAATGCTCAAGGAAAAAGTCCACAGCCGTAATAAAAATAATCATCCTGAATATTATATTCCTTGAATTTAAAAATGCATTCAATCTTTGATAGAGTTGAAAAAGAGGTGTTTTAGATAACAAAATGCTAGCACTGTGTAAAAACTGATCTCAAATTCTCCTTAGTTCTCTTACACTAATATGCACTTATATCGCTTTACAGATACTTAGAAGTACTTACTGATCCATACATACTTTTATCTTTTTTTTTAATTGATGCATAACAGATGTACATTGTTTTGGAGTACACATGACAATTTAATACATTTGTATAATTTGTAAATATCAAATCAGTATACTTGGGATATCCATTACTTTAAGTATTTGTCTTTTCTTTCTGCTAAAAACATTCCCCTTTTTCTCTTGTAGCTATTTTGAAATGTACTATAGATGGTTGTAAACTATAATTACCCTGATGATCTATCTAACATTAGGTCTTATTTCTTCTGTCATATTATATATTACCATATATACTTTTAAGTACTTACAGATATTTAGCCATGCCTGTAAAATTCTTGTAGTAAAAGTTCCTACAGACCTGAATATTAGGAAAATGCAGGTTTAGACCTAAAAAGGGTACCCTGATGCCGCCATTGATGTAGCAGTGGCTGGCTCCCCTAGGCTCAAATAATGCATTGACCTTTGGAGGGCAGCCAAGTGGAGCTCATGCAGGTTAATTTCCATGCAAGGCCTTGCTAGATCACATCATATCCCCTGCCTATTGCCAGACACTTAATCCAGGAATAGTATGGTTTGAGGAGCCCCTCTCTGTCAAAAATTTGGTACCCGCTTCACAGTCAGGATCCCAACTTTAGTGCCTTTGATTGGATTAATAATTTCTCTGAGCTCCAGGTCTGGGGATTGGGCTTGGCTTGGCAGTTGGGTTAGTCAGTGGGATAGGATGTGGCTCTGGAGTTGGGGTGGCTGGAGGTTGGAGGGCCTGGGGTGAGGGACAGGCTAGCAGGGAGAGCAGGCACTGCCCTAAGAAACAGAAGCCCAAAAGTCTGTGATGTGAGGATAATCACAGCGATTGTTAACCATGGTCAAGAGGGATCCCCAAAGATGAATGCTGAGAATGGCAAATCTGTTCAGCTGGAGCGGGGGCAGAGGTTGAGACAAGGGCAAGCATGGGCAGGCTAGGGAGGCAAGAGGGGCCACAGCGCAGCGAGAGGGCCTTAAATGATTGCAGCCATCTGACCAGGCTGGCCATAGCTCTCTTTGGTTTTGCTTAAAGACAACCGAGTTGGGAGTGAGGGCAGAAAAAAAAAACGTGCCTTAAAAGCATTTTCTGAAATGCAAATATATGTTCATCATGAGGTGTGAAACATTAAAAACTCATTAGAACTCATTGCCATGCATGATCCTGCTCACAAAGCCTAGTTTTATAGATGAATAGGAAATAGGGCTAGGAATTAAAGAATAAGAACACATATCCTCCAGGTGGAAGGTGCTTTCGAGGGAAACCTGAGATATCTTGGAAAAGAGTCTTGCAGGCAAATAGAGACAAAGCACCTGGGCTCTGCCAAGTTAGAATGAAGACAGCAAAGCAAAAGAAAATCTGCAACAAGACAAAGTAGCTCCAACTTAACTAGATGCAGGTTATTCCAAATTGTAAGTGAAATAACAGTAGGGCATTTTATCAGCTGGGAAACTTGGAATAAGCAGATAGAAGATTAATACACTTTCACGCAATCAAGAGCTCAAGTCTGGGCCGGGCACAGTGGCTCATGCCTGTAATCCCAGCACTTTGGGAGACCGAGGCGGGAAGATCACCTGAGGTCAGGAGTTCAAGACCAGCCTGGCCAACATGGCGAAACCCCTTCTCTACTAAAAATACAAAAATTAGCTGGGTGTGGTGGTGGGCTGTAATTTCAGCTACTAGGGAGGCCAAGGCAGAAGAACTGCTTGAACCTGGAAGGCAGAGGTTGCAGTAAGCTGAGATTGCACTGCACTCCAGCCTGGGCGACAAGAGTGAAATTCTCTCTCTCTCTCTCTCTCTCTCACACACACACACACACACACAGACACACACACACACAAAGAGTTCAAGTCTTTTGGGTAGGGTAATTGCTTCTGAGTTGTCTGAAATGACACGTGATTGACTGCTCTTGTCAGAACCGACCACCACATTCAAGTAATTTTATTCCATCTTTTTTGAGGATCATTGTTTTGTGTGTTTCCTGGTTGAAATTCATCTGTAACTAATTGTATTGCTTCATTTTGTGATTGATAGGTCCCTTGGGATGCTCTGCTAACCCTTCCTAATTGCAGTTTACCTAAGCACAGTAAATTTGGTTAGCCAATTCTCTTACACTTCCATTAAATATTAATGAGTACACTTGAGTAACATCATTTTCAATACTGTAAAATCTCAATTAAATAGAATAAACAAGGATTGAGTTTTTCTAGTTAATTAAATCTTACAATTAGCTGAAGCCTAAACCAGGGGACCTTTTGGTTCGAAATCCTCCTGGTGATGTTTTTTTCTAGAATGTCTTATTTTGTTTTTCCATCTGATCCACTCCTGATTTTAATTTTCCCTAGATGAGTTACCATCTCGCAATACCTCATGCTTAGTTGTCTCTTACTCATTCATTCATTTGTTCACATTTATTAGGAGGCTACTAATAGACGAGGAAGTCATAACCAGAGATAGACATGAAAACGGTAAAATAGCAGATAAAGGGCAAACTCTAGAAGTGGTTCTTTCAACAAATTCTAGTTTATAGTTTTTCATTATTGTCTTAGAAAGCATGGGTCATAGAAAAAAAAAAGTCTTGGTCGATGGAGAGATTCTTGTGTGCTTCCTGTTAACTGAGTGAAGTAGTTTTCCCCTTTGCATTTCAGAATTTTGAAAATCATCATTATTTTTTGACAGGGCCTTTGCCTCATTTATAAAATTGTCCCAGTAAGATGAGACATTTCACTTGCTATTTATACTTTATTGTGACATACTCATCTTGCCATTTCATTTCATATTTAAGGTGCACGCAAATGTTTGGGTGTGATTTCTGAAAGATTTTTTGCACTAATCTTTGTTCTGATGACACTCAGCTGAACTCTACAAATAACCCCCAAACAGTCTTTAGATGATACACAGACACTCGCCAGTTTTGAATGTTAAGCCAGCAACTTAAGACTTTGTTCACTCCTCACATATGTCTGACAACTAGTTTTTGTAGTGTTAGGTTTTCATGGTATATCATTTCCCTGAGGCTTCCACATTAATTAGGCAGCTTTTTCATATAGGCTCCGAGACTCGGACCAGTTTTCATTGGTTCAGTTCTTTCTTGCTCTCTTGGCCAGAAATCACTCTATGTTTTTTTTGTTTGTTTGTGATGGAGTTTCGCTCTTGTTGCCCAGGCTGGAGTGCAATGGCGTGATCTTGGCTCATTGCATCCTCTGCCTCCCAGGTTCAAGTGATTCTCCTGCCTCAGCCTCCCGAGTAGCTGGGATCACAGGCATGCGCCACCACTCCCTGCTAATTTTGTATTTTTAGTAGAGACGGGGTTTCTCCATGTTGGTCAGGATGGTCTCAAACTCCCAACCTCAGAAGATCCGCCCACCTTGGCCTCCTAAAGTGCACTGGTACCACCACAGCTTACTGCAGCCTCACACTCCTAGGCTCAAGCAATCCTCCCACCTCAGCCTCCTGAGAAGCTGGGAGTACAGCTGTGCACTAGCACGTCTGGCTGATTTTTTTTTTTTGGTAGGGGCGGGGTCTTGCTATGTTGCCCAAGCTGGTCTTGAACTCCTAGGCTCAAGTGTCCACATGCCTTGGCTTCCCAAACTGCTGAGATTACAGTTATGACCCACTACACCTGGCTGCGCTACCCTATTAAACTTTGTTTTGCCTTGTTTTGTTCTTTTAAAGAAGATTCTGCAACACTTTCTACAGGAGTTCCTAGGTATTGAACCTGATGCTTTCCTAAAAATGAATATAAAACATGAACATGTAAAAGTTGAGCTAAGATTTCCCATTGTAAGAGAATCTTCACCCTTAGATGAGTAAACTTATTTTAAAACTGTAGTTATGGTTCAAATAGTTAAGTATTTGTAAATTCTTTAATGTTACAGCACCTAATGGCCATCTCAAACACTCAAATTAGCATGGAGTCAACATTGAATACAGAAAAAAGATATTTTCCCATTAAAATTCTTATTTCAGCTGGGCACTGTGGCTCACGCCTGTAATCCCAACACTTTGGGAGGCCAAGGCAGGCGGATCACCTAAGGTTGGGAGTTCAAGACCAGTCTAACCAATATGGAGAAACCCCATCTCTACTAAAAATACAAAAAAAAGAAAAGAAAAAAAATTAGCCAGGCATGGTGGCACTTGCCTGTAATCCCAGCTACTTGGGAGGCTGAGGCAGGAGAATCTGTTGAACCTGGAAGGCAGAGGTTGTGGTGAGCCAAGATCGCGCCATTGCACTCCAGCCTGGGCAACAAGAGCAAAACTCTGTCTCAAAAAAAATAAAAATAAAAATAAAAAATAAAAAATAAAATTCTTATCTCAAAATTCACTTATTTGAGTTTTAGTGAAGATACATTTATTTATTCATTTATTTATCTTTTTTTTTTTTTGAGACAGAGTCTCGCGCTGTCGCCTAGGCTGGAGTACAGTGGCACAATCGTGACTCACTGCAACCTCCGCCTCCCAGGTTCAAGCGATTCTCCTCCTTCAGTCTCCCAAGTAGCTGAGATTACAGACACCCCCATGTCCAGCTAATTTTTGTATTTTTAGTAGAGACAGGGTTTCACCATGTTGGCCAGGCTGATCTTGAACTCCTGACCTAAAGTGATCCACCTGCCTCAGCCTCCCAACGTGCTGAGATTACAGACGTGAGCCACTGTGCCTGGCCTGTGGAAATATTTAATTAGCAGAGAAATTTACCTATTTTTTTGGTTGGGAAAAAGAACTTGCTGATGGTGATTGCATAGCTGATATGGACACTCAGGCATGGATATAACTGACATTTAATGACATTTCCAGAACTCACATTCTTGGATTGGGTGTTTTCTCAGAAGCGACAGGGTTTCTTCAGTCGTCATCAAGTTTGCTTGCACAAACCCTATTCAAGGGTTGCATTTGTTGGGCTGGATCCAGAGTGCAGCCTGACTGGGGGCTTTGGCCATGATGGATCGGGGTGACTCTCTGATGCAGAGCTCCTGGGACACTGAACCATGCCGCTGAATCAGGAAAATAATTATGTTAAATGTTCCCAGTAACATAAGTCTCCTCTTCCATTATTTCCTTTATTATGGTTTTTATCTGAAAATTGAAAACAAAATAGAACACTTATTGGTGACATGATGACTTAGCTCACTTTACTTCTGTAGCTTTCAAATGGACTCATTGCTTTTCCCACAAACCTTTCTGCCTATGAGACAATCCCATGTTTCTGGTGTGTGAAGTCTTGCTCTAGACTATTATGAAAAAGACTGTCAGGGCAGAAGAACTTGATCCAGGTGACTTTTAAGAACTTGTTACTGAAAGTGAGACCCTTAGTCCAGTGGGATTGGCATTATCTGGGAGCTCATAGATATGACACCAAACCAGGTACATTCTGCCAGTACCACACAGTAAGGCAATCGCGGTGACAGTGGGTTTTGCAAAAGAGAAAAGATTCATTCACAGGGCAGCCCAGCCAGGAGATGAGAGAACAGCTCTCAAATCTACCTCCTCAAGGATAGTGCTTAGGGATATTTATGGAGTAAAGAATTAGGATGGTCTAAGGTGGGGGAAGGTAATTGAGGGTGGGGGGAAATGAGGTAATTAGTGATCTCAGCAAGTGTAGTCTGGGCTCATGGCTCTTCCTAGGATACGTGGTCAGAAAATAGCAGTGTTAACATGATCTGAGGGTGGAGTTTTGGCCCTGTGATGGCAAATGTCACTTTTTGGACATCCATGCAGGTGCATTCGGAGGGTTGGTGGTCTCAGCTGGTTTTAACTGGATAGGGGCCGCCCCAGGTTCCCGAAAGACAACTTAAGCAATTGTTACTATGGTGACATATATGTCAGAGTGTTATTTATAGGGAAGCTAGTGAAGGCTAAGTTACAGCATTTAGCAGCCTGCCTTTAAGCTATGTGGGTTTAAAAAATCAACAAGCAGCAAAAATCAACAAGGTGCAAGCAACTTAAAAGATTAGCCCTCAGTAGCAGGTGCAGTGGCTTACACCTGTAATCCCAACACTTTGGGAGGCCCAGGCAGGCGGATCACGTGAGATTGGGAGTTTGAGACCAGCCTGGCCAACATGGAGAAACCCCGTCTCTACTAAAAATACAAAAATTAGTCGGGTGTGGTGGCACATGCCTGTAATCCCAGCTACTCGGGAGGCTGAGGGGGGAGAATCACTTGAATCCGGGAGGCGGAGGTTTCGGTGACCTGAGATCGCACCACTGCACTCCAGCCTGAGCAACAAGAGCAAAACTCCATCTCAGAGAAAAAAAAAAAAAGATTAGCCCTCGGTTTCAGAAATGTAGAATATTAGGGCCTACCCTGGATCTACTGAACCAGAATCTGCATTTTATTACATTTCTCAGGTGATTCATGGGCACAGTGCAGTTGAAGAAATGCTGCTTTAAGACGCCTGCCAAGACAATAACGACTGCCGCTGTATAGACTATGAATGGGAGAAAAAAGTAACTCCTCCTCAACCCTCATACGTTGGTACTTGGGACAGACTCACAAGAAAAGACAGATTAACAAGAGAAAAACAAGCAAGTGTATTAATGCATGCAGTGCACGTCCTGTGGGAGAAAAGTAACTCAAAGCAGTGGCTTTAGGAGTCTGGCTTATGTCGTATATTCGACAAAGAACAATAAATTTCAGAGAAGTGACAAGACAAAGGGAAAGCCGTCCCAGGATTCTAGAAGTGGGAAAATGCAGGAAGGCAAATTTATGGGAGATGAACGGAGTGAAGTCCACTGACAGAATTTCCTGGCTTTGTTGCCGAGCTGATAAAAGGTTGTAAAGGAGAATTTACATCCTGGCTTTAGGTGGGAAATAGGGGGAGGGTAGAAGACCTTTTGTCTTTGCAATTCTCTGCCCTGCTTTCAGGCAAACAGAAGGAAGGCAAAGAGCTTTTCTGAGTGGCTTCTGAATTGCCTTTAGCTCAAAAAACACTTATGTTAAAGAGGCCTATTTTGAGGTGACACATTCTGGTTTCTTTAAACAAATACTCCTGAATACTGATTATTAAGCTGAGTCTCAACTCCAATGACTGTGCTAAGTGTTTTTATGCATTGTCTCGTACAGATTTTGCATCAAATTCATCAAAGAGAAGATTATTCTCATTTTGCACCTGAGGAAGCTGAAACCACAGAAGGGCTAAATAACTTTCTTCTATTTTTTTTTTTTTTTTTTGAAATGGAGTCTTGCTCTGTTGTCCAGGCTGGAGTACAAGGGCATGATCTTGGCTCACTGCAACCTCCACCTCCCAGATTCAAGCAATTCTCCTGCCTCAGCCTCCTGAGTAGCTGGTACTACAGGTGCCCCCCACCACACCTGGCTAAGTTTCGTACTTTTATTAGAGATGGGGTTTTGCCATGTTGGCCAGCCTGGTCTTGAACTCCTGACCTTGTGATCTTCCTGCCTCGGCCTCCCAAAGTGCCGGGATTACAGGCATGAGCCACCACATCCAGCCAATAATTTTCTTAAGGTTAAGCATCTAGTGTGTATCAGAGCAGGAATTTGAATGATTATCCACTTGCCATCAAAGTGTATCCTCTTGGTCACTGTAATTTGTTTATTTCATTCAAAAAATGTTGTCAGCACCCTCATTTGAGGTGTTAAAAGACAATTTTCATATAAAGGTAAAACCATGTATTCCATACAGATATGAAATTGATCACTTTTTAAATATTTATTTTATTATTTTTATTTTTTAGGCAGAGTCTCACTCTGTCACCCAGGAGTTCAGTGATGTGATCGTGGCTCACCGCAGGCTTGAACTCCTGGGTTCAGGCAATCCTCCTGTCTCAGCTTCTGGAGTAGCTGGGACTACAGGCATGTACTACCATGCCTGGCTATTTAAAAAAAATTTTTTTATAAAGATGAGTTCTTGAAATTTTGCTTAGGCTGCTTTCGAACTCCTAGGCTCAACCGGAAAGACTGAATTTAAATCATCAGTGAGAAAACTGGAAAGGTGTTACAACCAGTTCAAAGGAGAATCCACAGAATAGATACATTTACATGTATAGATCAGAACTATCGAGCTGAGTGTGTCAATGGAGGCAGAACTACCTTTTCGTTGTGGTGTGGGAGAGGGAGAGTTGCCTCTCCCCTGGACACAATTCATTTGCATGCCTATGGATAAGAATTATTTTGCATTGCTATCAGTTAGGCACAATTTATAGAATTGCAAAAGAGCTCTGTTAAAGAAGAAAGTATTCATGACACTTGTTAAAACAGTAAGGCAGAATGAGCAATCAACTGAGATAACTCAGTACCTTCAGACCAGCCTAGAGTAAGAGAATATTGTTGGAAGTCGGTTAAAAAAGACAGAAACACTGCACTGTGGGTGAATTCCACCCTGACTCTACACTTTTAGGCTTGCTTCCCAGAACCAAGGACCTGTCACTTCTGGACCAGTGAAATGAGACACGGATGCTCATGTTGACAACTTGTTTTCAATCTGTTTCTATTTTATTTTATCTCTACTTGCCTAAATACACCATTTCCTAGTTTAGGTCCTACTCTTGCACACTGAATTTGAAGTTTTCATAAATCTCCATATCAAACCTGTCCTTTTGATAACTCCCACTTCAGGCGACTCAGGTAAGCCAATACTTTCTGACTGCCCAAAGGACTCAATCACGCCTGAGCCAGGCCCATCTGTTTCCTCATTTGGGGTAATCTGTGGGGTGCAGGGAGACTGAAATTCAGAAGAAGTGAGTCTGTGAGGTTCATTCCTGTGAATCCTTCCCTTAACATTAGAGTGATGGGCAGCGATAGTGTTCACGGTGTAGGGAAAATTTTGTGCCACAATGGATAGGTTTGCACTGTTTAGATCACATACCTCTTTGACTTTTAGTTTTGTTGTTTTCTTGGAGATAGAGTCTCACTTTGTCACCCAGGCTGGAGTGCAGTCGTGTTGTTATGCCCAGACCGTTTGTTCCCCAAAGAAGACCACCAGAGTCCAATGTCAAAGCCAAGCGGCAAGGATCTTTATTACAAGTTCGAACCTGGACCCTCCATTCTACAGCATACAAGAGAGGGCCCCGAACAATGCGAGCGTTTGCTTTTTATAGCCCGAAAGTTACAGGGGAACAAAGAAATTCTTTCGGCTCCCGCGCTTTCAGTGGAACCTTGAACGGCTGTCTCCTTATCGGAGGCTTTCCAGGTGGTGTTTATACTGGGCTCAGGGAGTTTGAGAGATATATGGCGATATGTGGTGGGATGGGAGGATGGAATGTGTTTGTACTAGGCTCAGGGAGTCTTGAGCCCGGGGCTAGAGGAATGCGCCCAGCTCCTTTCAGTGTGATCTCGGCTCACTGCAACCTCCACCTCCTGGGTTCAAGCAACTCTCCTTCCTCAGCCTCCCGAGTAGCTGGGATTACAGGTATGTGCCACCATGCCTGGCTAAGTTTTGTATTTTTAGTAGACACGGGGTTTCATCATGTTAACCAGGCTGGTCTCAAACTCTGACCTTAGGTAGTCAACCAACTTCAGCCTCCCAAAGTGCTTGGATTACAGGTATGAGCCACTGTACCTGGCCAGATCACACACCTCTAAGTTATCGGATTCTGATCCTGTGGGAGCTATTCGATAACTCCGAGTTGCAGTTAACTGATAGCAATGCAAAATAATTCTTGTCCATAAATATGCAAATTATGTCCTTCGTGGTAGAGGTCCTAATGACTCACCCTGCCCCTCACCCTGCCAGTTCTTTTATTGGCACATTCATCTTAATATTCCTGATCTGTAAAGGTGGTGGTGCTCTGCATTCTCCTTTGAACTGCTTCCCTCATTATGAGTAAACGCTTTCACATATATTCATTTTATATGTGCATGAGAGTTACAATTTTCCTTTTTTTTTTTGAGACAGAATCTCCCTCAGTCATCCAGGCTGGAGTGCAGTGGTGCAATCAAAGCGTACTGCAGTCTCCATCTCCCAGGCTCAAGCAATCCTCCCACCTCAGCTTCCTGAGTAGCTGGGACCACAGGCACACACCCACCTCCACATCTGGCTAATTTTTAAATTGTATGTAGAGACAGGAGTCTCACTAAGTTACCCAGGTTGATCTCAAACTCCTAGGCTCAAGACCCTCCCCTACCTCGGCCTCCCAAAATGCTGGGATTACAGGTGTAAGCCACCACATCCGGCTGCTTTTACATTGTTGAAAACTATCTTTCAACTATGGTAGAAGGGCAAAATACATTATGGTAACTGACTCAGAAGCAGAGAACTAGCTAATTAATCTTCATTGAGGGTAACTGAAGGCAAATAAAAGCCAACTAAGCAGAGATTATTTGCAGACATTTTTGCAATTTTAAGCTGCCTGCAATGTTTGTGGATAAAAGAATGAAGTTCTATGAAGTCATTTTAGGAAAAGTTCCTCTATTTTGAATTAAATGGTATTCACCAAAACACAGAATCATGGTTTCTTGAAATTAATATGATTACAGAAGATAGCCGGCTTTCATTCTGCAAGCTCAGATGGTAATTGTATTTACTTGTCTGTCATCCCCAGCAGGCTGTTTGCTTCAAGGCAGCAAAGAAACTGTCTTGTACTTTGTTTTATCTCCAGAACTTACCATTCTCTGGCACAGAGATCCGGTGAATGATGAAATTAAAAGGCAGCCAGAATCTGCCCTCATCTTTGTAGGCACCGTAACTTGATTTTATCAGTTCCTGAGAGAATGGACATACGAAGGCAGACTTTTGTTAACCAGATTCATACAAGATGATTTATAAACCAGAATATTAATTTGTTAATTAAAAAGAGTACTCAAACCATGCAGTAGACTTAGGATGCTTGCCTTTCCCCCTCAGGAAAACTACATGGGGTGTGTGTGTTGGGGGGGCGGTGGCTACACTATAATTAGAACTTTGCTTAATGAGCTGGAAGTTGGAACACAGGTAATGACTGTGGCCTCTGTCCCAGGGGCAGGTCAGCCTGTTACATCCCACTACAGTGTTCAGGATGCTGGCGGCTGGGATGCTCTCCTGGCTCCTCATCCCTGGAATGAGGACATAGTGTTTCTAAGTCTACAGAAAGAATCTTATAACGAGTTGGGCTTTCTGTTCTTTGATAATATTCCCTGTCTATGAAAGCATTCTTTCTTCAGAGACTAACATTGATTTGGTTTTAAGTGTTACATTTAAATTCACAATCCTGTTTTAGCTCCCTTATGGTCACTATAAATAGAATTTGGGATATTCTTGAAACTCCTTTGTCACCCATATGGAGATTATTCTTTGGGATGTTTTACTTGGCCAGGGGACTGATTGCATGATTGTATTAATTATGAGTCATATGCAGAGGGTGACATCAATTCTATGTTTTAGAGGTCTTTGTGGATGATTGGTAAGCACTTCTGGCATTATTTTGTAGGGATTGAATAGTTTGTTTCCTTCAAGAGGCATTCTTCACATTATCAGAGTCTTAAATTTTTTTTTTTTTTTAAACATGGAGTCTGCCACCCAGGCTGGAGTGCAGTGGTGCAATCTTAGCTCACTGCAACCTCTGCCTCCCAGGTTCAGGCGATTCTCCTGCCTCAGCCTCCTGAGTAGCTGGGATTACAGGCATGTGCCACCACGCCTAGCTAATTTTTGTATTTTCAGTAGAGACGGGATTTCGCCATGTTGACCAGCCTGCACTTGAACTCCTGACCTCAGGTGATCCACCCGCCACGGCCTCCCAAAGTGTGGGATTACAGGCGTGAGCCACCATGCCCGGCCCAGAGTCTTAATTTTTCTTACTTAGTAGTAGCCATTGTAGTCTTTAAGTTTTTGGCTATTCTGTGGAATCTTGTCAGCGGGGCTTGTAAAGTGATCACTTTCAACTCAAGAATGACTTATACAGATATAATTTTTTAAAAGCACATCAACCATATGTGGATAACAGCGATAGCAGAACTGCTTGTTTTTGTGTATCTTTTCTTTCCAACCTTATTAAAGATTTCCCCCCGCCCCCCAACATACTGAAGTTGTTGGAACCTAAGTTAAAGCTCCACTTTGGGCAGGGGTCGCCGCGAGAGACCACTCAATACCGAGATCATAGCGGAGAGACACTTTTATTTCTAGCGCGCCAGGGTCCCTCGTGCGCAAGGATGGCCAAGGGACCCCGAGCGCTTGTTACAGGCTGCTTATAAAGGCACAGACTACAAATTCAGACAAAGCTTTTAGGGCGCGAAATTCAAACAAAGCTTTGGGGCGCGAGATGATTGGGGCTTGTCATGGCCTGAGCAAGGCATCTCACTCTGATTGGTTGGGGCTTGTGCGCGGGATGGAGGCGTGGGGGGGGGGGGGGTTTCTGGAATTGTTTTTCTGTTTGAATTCCGGGAACATTGGGTGTTTCCCTTAGTCACCCATGGCCACCTAGTGTTGTTTTTCTTAATTACCCATGGCCTATTTTCAAAGTGATGAAAACATGCCTAAAGTCTTTGTTGCCAGTACCAAACAAACAAATTCTGTAATCCAATAATAAAAGCAGCCAGAAGCCATAACGTAAGACTGGAAGGAATTAAAAAAGGGAAATGGGCACCAATTAATGGTTAACAAATACAGGCAGGGGCCAGGCGGGGGATGGTTTTGCATGCCCAGTTAATAAGGAGTACAGAGCACATCTCAAGAGTGATGCAGATGGAAGGTCTTTGAGTAGGGAAATGATGTGATCAAATGTGCACAGGAGGCCGGGCGCGGTGGCTCACGCCTGTAATCCCAGCACTTTGGGAGGCCAAGGCAGGCAGATCACTTGAGGTCAGGAGTTCGAGACCAGCCTGGCCAACACGGTGAAATCCCGTCTCTGCTAAAAATATAAAAATTAGCCGGACTTGGTGGCAGGCGCCTATAATCCCAGCTACTCAGGGGGCTGAGGCAGGAGAATCGCTTGAACCCAGGAGGCAGAGCTTGCATTGAGCCGAGAATGCGCCATTTAACTCCAGCCTGGGGGACAAGGGCAAGACTTCGTCTGAAAAAAAAAATGTGCACACAGGACAACCTACCGTGGAGGAAATGAGGATGGAGCTGAAGGGGAAAGATGTTGGCAGAGATGTTTAGAGGAAGCCAGCAGGCTAAGACACGAAACATAGAGGCAGTGTATGAGGGAACACCAGTAAACTGAATACTAGCCACTTACTTTAAATTCACATCAGAAAAAGAAGACTCATAGGAAACACCCACTCTTATGCACTGGCCCAAGAAAGAACCTGTGAAAGGACCCTGAAGAGTAGTCAGAGGTCAAAGGACAAGAAGAGAGGACTGTGGTGGAAGCCAGGTACTGAGTGAGTTGTTAGCAGTTCACATACCCTCAGGGGTCAAGTGGCAAATGTTGAAAGAGCTCTTGGACTTGGTGATGCTTTCCAACAATGGTTTAGTGGATTTGCAGGTAAAGAAAAGGGACAAGAGTTGGTTGCACTCTGAATGAAAGGTAAGGCAATAGATGAAGGAGCATAGCAGAATGGATGATTTTGTTTGTTTTTGATTTTGAGATGGAATTGAGCTTGGAAAGGAGACCGTGTTAGGGAGAAGGGAAAGATTCAGGAGAAACAAAAATCAAGGGATGGGCTGGATCTCAAAGGAGATAGAGGGATGTGATGGCAGGTGGATTATTCTTTTGTGAGAGGGGAGACATTTCTTTCTCTGAGATAGAAAGTCAGGATGGTTTGTACTTACAGGCCAATGCTCATCCACCTGCATCCTGTTTCTCTGAAAAAGGAGCACAGTTAAATGAGAAGTTAGGAGTACAGAGAACAGGCAGACAATAGGAAACAGTGGATGCCTAGTATAGCCGTGGAGGGAACTGGGCATGTAATGGAATTGCCAAGGTATATAAAAGGCCCTGCAAATTGGACACCATGAATTTACCAAGGCACCAACCCACCCGCATGAGTTTTTTTCCAGCACTCCTCATGCATCAGGTATAGGAATATAGGATGCCAGGGGCTGTATTGCTACGTTATTGCAGATTTGCCATGTGACAAGATGTCAATGGATCAGGGAATTGAGAGGGCTGTCAAGATGTGACAAATGCTACAAGTGGGCAGAAAAATAATCCTGCACAGTGACATGTGAGCAGAGATTGTGATCTTCTAATGGAGCAATTAGAGAAGCATTGGCAGAACCGTTAGAGCCATCTCCGTGCATGGGTCGGAGGCTTCTCATGCTAAGCTGACTACAGAGTTCTAGCAGAACACCATGAGGGTAGTAGCCATGGTCTCTCCCATGACTTGTCTCTTTGGGGGCAAGTTCAATTGTAGAGTTTGGCAGTTCTGATGTGAACAGGTCCTTTTTTTCTGTTTCAGCTAATTCTGGTAAGAAGCTTTCGTTTGTTTGTTTGTTTATTTTTGTGTGTGTGTGTGTTTTTTTTGAGTTTATTCGCTCTTGTTGCCCAGGCTGGAGTGCAATGGCGCGATCTTGGCTCACTGCAACCTCTGCCTCCCAGGTTCAAGTGATTCTCCTGCCTCAGCCTCCCGAGTAGCTGGGATTACAGGCACACACTACCACATCCGGCTAATTTTTTATTTGTAGTAGAGATGGGGTTTCTCCATGTTGGTCAGGCTGGTCTTGAACTCCCGACATCAGATGATCCGCCCACCTTCGCCTCCCAAAGTGCTGGGATTACAGGCTTGAACCACTGTGCCTGGCAAGTTTTTAAGAAGTGCTTTCAACAGAAAATTGGAATAAAATTAAAAAAATTTTTTTTAGTCTCAGAATTGACAGAAACAGAACTCATACTTCGAGCCTGCAAGAATCTGGTCCCAGGGTTTTTGTTCTTAGAGTTTGCTTGGCAACCCTACTGAATCCTATTCTTTTTCTCTCCCTAGATTCAACTGCTCAGACTTCTAACTTGGTTAGTTTTAGGTGGGTCCTTCTCCATTCATATCCTGGCCTTCTACCTGGAAAGGAGCTCTCCTGCAGCAAGATGTGATATGATCCCCAGTGTATTAGTTAATTTTAATGCTGCTGATAAAGATATACCCGAGACTGGGTAATTCATGAAGAAAGAGAGATTTAATGGACTCACAGTTCCACGTGGATGGGGAGGCCTCACAATCATGGCAGAAGGCAAAAGGCACGTCTTACATGGTGGTAGACAAGAGAGAGAATGAGAATCAACTGAATGGGGTTTCCCCTTATAAAACCATCAGACTTATTCACTACCATGAGAATGGTATGGAGGAAACTGCCCCCATGATTCAGTTATCTCCAACAGGGTCCTTCCCACAACATGTGGGAATTGTGAAAGCTATAATTCAAGATGAGATTTGGATGGGGACACAGTCAAACCATGTCACCCAGTAATCCTTCCTTTGCTTACACATCAACCCACGTTGTCTTGCAGCCATCTCTTGTGCCACCATGTTGTTTCTGGTTCAGAGTCTTTGCAATTTCTACTTTCACCTTGATCAATTTCTCTCAATCCCCTATGACTTGTCTGAGAGATGTCCCCAAATCAGCATTTTTTTTAAAAGGACTCAACGTCTTCATTTGTGGTGTGCACCAACCTCTTAGATGGGATCTGCTCACAGCTAGTGTCCTCTCTCATCCCAGAATTGAGAAGGTCTCTTTTCGGAGCAAGTTTGAACGACTTTAGATGAAAAAAAGAAGAAAACTCTGAAGACTTTTGAAATGAAAAGGAGGGGACAGAGAAGGTATAGAGGCAAAGATAACTAAAAGGGCTTCCCTGTCTGTACCTTTCATTACTGGGTGACTTCTTACCAGTGTGAGATGCTGCCTACCTCTGTGGCAATAACAATAACTGATTTGAGGAAATAATGTGATAATGACTTTGAGAGAATAAGAACACAATTATTTACTGACTTCTACTTGTCAGGTGTTTTTATACACATCCCCCTTAAATTCCTAAAATTCCTCTATTGGGTAAGGACTTTTTTTTTTTTTTTTTTTTTTTTTTTAAGGCAATCCCAAAGTTTGAAAGCTAAAGTCAGAGAGTGGAGTCCAGATTCAGAGACTGGCCTTGCTGACTCCAAAGACCCTGCTTGGTCCCCAGGACTTCATTCTGTCACCTCCACTTCTACCCCAGATCCTCTCATTTGTGTCCATGTATCTTCTGTGATTTTAGTTTGCCCAACTAAACCTGTTCTGAGTTTTTATTTAAAAAGATAATCTATCTGATTTAAGAAGAGGCATAGGAGACACAATCCTATTGGTGCCTACCAGTCACAGTTTCACAATTCAGTACTGCAACACCATCATAATTCGAAGCATTGTTGGCTTGGTAATTCACTTCATGAACAGTTCTGCCTGCATAAAAGACATGGCAAATGGGAAATAAACAAATCCTTGAACAGTATGATAATACATTCAGAAAGCACAGAGGGTGATGCGTGGAGACTGAACTAGAGGGAGGTGGGAAGGAAGTGGTGGGAGAGATAAATCCTATCAGGATTAAGAGGGACTTTTGTGAGCCCATGTGTACTCTGCAGGCAGTGTTTTTAGAAACCATTTCTGAGAAATATTGGAGAATTAGTTATGAATGTCTTGTTTATTTCTTTACCTTTATGCCTTCCTATCCCTCACTTCCCACATCCAATCTTCTATGAAGTCCTGTCAGTCTTGCCTCTAGAATGGATCTCAAATCTGTCCACTTCTCTTCCCGCTGATGGACACAAGTGTGGTGAAGTCTCCAGTCGCACCTGTGTCAGATCTCCTCCCTGGGGACACAGGAGGGTGGCTCATTTCTGACTCCCAGGTTGCAATCAGGTGGGGCATGTGACCAGCTCTGGCTAAAGATGCATTGTAATTCTGGCTCAAACATTTGGATACAGGGCAAGACCTTCCAGCATGTTCTTCTCCTGCCATATCAATTATGGAAGCAGGTTATTGAAATGAAGGTGCCATAAGACTGAAGCAATTTGGATCGCTGTATTAGTCAGAGTTCTCCAGAAAAACAGAAGCAACAGAGAGATAGCAAAAGATTTATTACGAGGGATTAACTCCCATAATTAGGGGAGGCTGAGAAGTCCCAGGACCTGCCTTCTCCAAGCTGGAGCCCCAGGAAAGCCAGTGGTGTAGTTCAGTCTAAGCCCAAAGGTTGAGGAGACTTTGATGGAAACCAGGGGGCCAACAGTTTAAGTCCCAGTCTGAATATGAAGGCCCTAGAACCAGGAGCACCAATGTCCAAGGGTAAGAGAAAATGACGTCCCAGCTCGAGACTGAACTCACCCTTCCTCTACTTTTTTGTTCTATCCAAGTGCTCAGCAGATTGGATGCTGCCACCCACGTTGGTGAGGGCAGCCTTTACTCCATCCACTGATTCAAATGCTCATCTGTTCCAGAAATACCTTCACAGCCACATCCAGAAATCATGTTTTACCAGTTATCTGGGCACCCCTTTGCCCAGTGAAGTTGACACAGAAAATGAACATCACAAGCCCTAAACCACATGGAGCACAGCTGCCCTAGATGGGCCTCCAGACATACACTGGGCATTTCATGGGCAAGAAACAAACTTTTGTTTTGTAAGCAACTGAGAGCTTGACGTTGTTTGTTATCACATCATAGTCTATTCTATCCTGACAAGTAAAAGGAGTTGCCATCATCTCTCTCTCGTGGAGTCCTGCAGAAACCTCCTAACTTTTTCACTTCCTCTCTTGCCCCATTTCTCCTCATTTCTCTGCAATCACCCCATGGCTCTTCAGCCTTGAATCCCATTATCTTTTCAGTTCCTCAGATAATCCAGACTGCTCCCCATTTTAGAACCACTGCACATTTATTTTTTTGAGACAGGGTCTTACTCTGTCACCCAGGCTGCAATGCACTGGCCCGATCATGGCTCATTGCAGCCTTGGACTCCTGGGCTCAAGTGATTCACCAGCCTCAGCTCCCCAAAGTGCTGGGACTAGAGGTGTGAGCCACTGTGCCTGACGTGCACACACGTTTTCCTCTGCCTTGAATGCATTACCCACTTGGTTTGGATCATCCTTGGGTGTCTCCACTTAAATGACAATCCCTTGGAGCCCTCCTCTGACCCCTCAGTGTGAGTAGAGACCTACTCTTCTGAGCCACCTACTCTGGTTCAACCATAACCAATCACAGTTCATAATTCCATATTCATTTGTGTGGTTATTTGTTGATTGATATCTTTTTCATTAATCAGACTGTAAGCTCCATTAGGGAATGAGACCATGTCTATTTTCTCTTCCTCTCTGTCCTAAATAACCTGTGTGTGGGCCCAACTCATATTAGGCTATCAACGAACACCTTCAGGATGATGAAATAAATGCATTAACAGCAAGTTAGGGTTGCATGCATATATAAAAAAAAATATATATATATATATATATTTTTTTTCTTTGAGACAGAGTCTCGCTCTGTTGCCCAGGCTGGAATGCAGTGGCGCAAACCCGGCTCACTGCAAGCTCCACCTCCTGGCTTCACACCATTCTCCTGCCTCAGCCTCCCGAGTAGCTGGGACTACAGGGGCCCGCCACCATGCCCGGCTAATTTTTTTTGTATTTTTAGTAGAGACAGGGTTTCACTGTGTTAGCCAGGATGGTCTCGATCTCTTCACCTCATTATCTGCCTGCCTTGGCCTCCCAAAGTGCTAGGATTACAGGCGTGAGCCACCGCACCTGGCCGCATATGTACTTTTTAAGTCTAAGGAAAGAGATAGTTGATTTTTGTTGAGCACTTACTATATGTGATGCATGTTACAAGTGGTTTACATTGTTTTCTTAGCATATATATATATCATGGCAATAACACTATGAGGTAAGCACAATTATCCTTGATTTAGAAATATGGAAGTCTATGCCTGGAGTGGGTTAAATAACATGCCTATGTCCATGAGGCTCATTAGGCAAGCTAACTTTGTAACCCATGTCCTTAACCTGACTTTGGATTTTTTTTTTCCCACCTCCAGTTTTCAAAGTTTATAAAACAAATAGCACCAGGCCAGTATATTGCAGCCATCAGAATAATGAAAGGCCAGATTTGTGTTCATTGTGGAGAGAGTTAATGATCTCCTATGTCTGCATGTTTTCTACCAAAGAAAACATCTTTTAAAAATAAACACGGGCCGGGCGCGGTGGCTCAAGCCTGTAATCCCAGCACTTTGGGAGGCCGAGACGGGCGGATCACGAGGTCAGGAGATCGAGACCATCCTGGCGAACACGGTGAAACCCCGTCTCTACTAAGAAAAATACAAAAAACTAGCCGGGTGAGGTGGCGGGCGCCTGTAGTCCCAGCTACTCCGGAGGCTGAGGCAGGAGAATGGCGTGAACCCGAGAGGCGGAGCTTGCAGTGAGCCGAGATCCTGGGCGACAGAGCAAGACTCCATCTCAAAAAAAATAAAAATAAAAAAATAAAAAAATAAACGCGGCTGGGCATGGTGGCTCATGCCTGTAATCCCAGCACTTTGGGAGGCCGAGACAGGTGGATCACGAGGTCAGGATTATCAAGACCATCCTGGCTAACATGGTGAAACCCCGTTTCTACTAAAAAAAATACAAAAAATTAGCTGGATGTGGTGGCGGGCGCCTGTAGTCCCTTACTCGGGAAGCTGAGGCAGGAGAATGGTGTGAACCTGGGAGGTGGAGCTGGCAGTGAGCTGAGATGCGCCACTGCACTCCAGCCTAGGGGACAGAGCGAGATTCCGTCTCAAAAATAAAGTAAAATAAATGCAGTGATTAAAACTATTAAATAACTTGTTCATTGTAAATACTAACCTCAGAATATGAAAACCTGCCAGTATAAAGTCCTCAAAGAAGGGGGGACAATGGGGCTCATGCCTGTAATAGCAGCACTTTGGGAGGCCAATGCTGGTGGATCACCTAAGGTCGAGAGTTCGAGACCAGCCTGACCAACACAGAGAAACTCCATCTCTACTAAAAATACAAAATTAGTGGGGCGTGGTGGCAAGTGCCTGTAATCCCAGCTACTGGGGAGGCTGACGCAGGAGAATCGCTGAAAGCAGGGAGGCGGAGGTTGCGGTAAGCTGAGATCGTGCCATTGCATGCCAGCCTGGGCAACAAGAGCAAAACTCCATCTCAAAAAAAAAAAAGTCCTCAAAATGGAGTTCTTTTATGTTTGACTTTAGAGCATAAGTTTTGTTGTGTTTTTTTTGTTGTTGTTTTCTTTTTTTCATTTAGACCCATCAGAGGTGAAAATATTAATTTCCTTTTCCATGGAGAAATCCAATAAAGGAGTAAAAATCAGACTTCATTTGGACACACTTTATCAAGCAAATCTGATTTTTGTTAACAATATCTTATAAGCTCTCATTTTAAATCAATCTTTTTAAAAATCTCTTTCATGAAACAGCACATATCTGAATGAGAAGTCGCTCCAACTGACGGAGAAATGCAAAAATCTGCAATATGGCATTGAGTCTTTCTCTAACAAAACGAAAGGGTAAGTGCTACTCTTCACATTTAATTTCCTTTTACAATAAGGGTTTTATATTCAGAATGTTTGACAGTGTCTCTGAAGTCATTTGGAATATAAGACTGTTCACTCTCAGGCTTACCATTGGGCTCTGAAGGTCCTGTTAATGAGCAGGATGGACCAGGGGCCAAACAGTGTGCACCAGGGTCAGACCCTGGCAGTGGAACTCAACTTCTCTGTCCCTGGATCTGCATTTGTTAAAAATACCATGTAGGAGTCAGGTGCGGTGGCTTATGGCTGTAATCCCAGTGCTTGGGGAGGCAGAGGCTAGAGGATTGCTTGAGGCCAGGAGTTTGAGACCAGGCTTAGCAACATAGCAAGACCCCCATCTCTACAAAAAATAATTAAAATTGGGTGGCATGTGCCTGTAATCCCAGCTACTCAAGAGGCTGAGGCAGGAGGATGGTTTGAACCCAGGAGTTCAAGATTGCAGTGAGCTATGATGGCACCACTACATTCCAGCCCAGGGGACAGAGCAAGACCCTGACTCTGAAACTAATTTTTAAAATTAGCTGAGTGTGGTGGCTCGGGTCTGTAGTTTCAGCTATTCAGGAGGTTGAGGAAGGAGAACTGCCTGAGCCCAGGAGTTCAAGGCTGCGGTGAGCAATGATAGCACCACTACGTCCAACCTGGGTGACAGACCAAGACCCTGTCTCTAAAATCAACCAAAAAAGCCCTCAAAACACCATGTAGTTTTACTGGCTAAACTTTTATAGGCGCTCAATCCTTTCTGAGAACCTGATATGTATTCTGAACGCTATCCTAGAGAATTACACACTGGTACAAAACTGTGCTTACAGTTTCAGCAGGTAAACGATTTACCCCCAGTCTCAGCTGTGACACCCCCTCAGCTTCCCCAGCGCTGCTTACAATCCTGGATTTTAGAAGGTTTGCTATATCATCTCCTTCAAAAAAAGGAAATCCAAGTGCTCCATGCCTCATCTACATGGAAGAGGCACTGGTGGCCTGAGACTCTGATGTGAGAAGCACTGTGTTGATTGTTCCTGGAAGGTGCCCAGTCCGATGGTGCTGGACAAAGGATGTGTGTGTGTTGGGCAGGGACACGAGGTTATGCCTGTAACCTCCCTGAAAGGAAGTAATCCAAGTTTCATCTTGCTTTATGCTTGCCTGACATTTGAAGATGGTTCAGGATAATGTAAATGCCCAGTGGGTTTACCTTGCCCACTGCCTAGACAGACCTGATTTATCAAGACAGGGGAATTGCAATGGAGAAAGGGTAATTCACGCAGAGCTCACTGTGTGGCAGACCGGGGTTTTATTATTCAAATCCGTCTCCCTGAGCGTTTGTTAGGGGATCAGAGTTTTTAGAGATAATTTGGAGGGTAGGCGCTTGGGAAGTGGGGAGTGCTGATGGTCAGGTTGGAGATGGAATCATAGGGAGTTGAAGTGAGTTTTTCTTGCCATCTTCTGTTCCTGGGTGGGATGGCAGAACTGGCTGAGCCAGATTAGTCATCTGGGGGTGTCAGCTGATCCATCCAGTGTAGGGTCTAAAAAATATCTCAAGTACTGATGTTAGGCTTTACAATAGTGATGGTATCCCCAGGAGTAATATGGGGAGGTTCAGACTCTTGGAGCCAGAGGCCATATGACCCCTAAACTGTAATTTCTAATCTTGTAGCTAATTTGTTAGTCCAGCAAAGGCAGACTGGCCCCCTGGCAGAAGGGGGTTCTTTCAGGAAAGGGCAATTATCAATTTTGTTTCAGAGTCAAACCACGAACTGAATTCCTTCCCAATGTTAGTTCAGCCTACGCCCAGGAATAAACAAGGACAGCTTAAAGATTAGAAGCAAGATGGAGTCAGTTAGGTCTGATTTCTTTCATGTCATAATTTCCTCAGTTATCATTTCCAAAGATGGTTTCAGTAAGAGGTATTGCTGATTTCCACATGCCAGTCCTGTACAAGGAAGACCCAGTGAGTGGTCTTCCTGCCTTCATGTTTTTCACTTTCTCTTCCTATATCATAATTAAGGAATCTTTCTCATCTCTATATCATAATAATAATGATTCTCTTTCTCTCAGTCTCACACACACCTCTTCTTTTAAATGTTAGAAATAGAGTTTATGGGAGGAAGGAGTAAAGCGGCTGCCTCTAATCCATTCCTTCCCTTACCTGGGGGTGTTGGAGGTTGACCTGGGGATAAAGAAACCAAAGTAGGTAAACTGGTTTAACCTGTTTCTCCACTGAGCCTCTGGGTAAATAGACAATGATATTTGCTGAAAGGAAGAGACACATCCATTGAGTGTCCCTAGCAGGCTGATCTCTGGCTGAGGTCCTGCTTAAAGTTAATGGGATCCAGGATCCAGGAGGCAGGACTCCCTGGAGCATGGCTCAAAGGCTGTGGAACTCTCTGGGTCTAAAAGAGAAACCGTTTAACAATTTAAAGCTTCCTGCTATGTGAGGAAGCCCACGGACTTCACCTAGAAACCTCACCTACTATCCTGGGCCATGTGCAATGTGGGAAGACAGGACTGGGGTGTCCACCCTTGATGTCCCATGCCTGTCTCTGCTGTGTCTGAGCCTGTTGACGCAACTAGAAATTATGTTTTACCAGCTATCTGGGCATGCCTGAGCCCAGTCAAGTTAACACAGAAAATGAACCATTACAAGCCTTAAACTATATGCAGCACAGCTGTCCTAGACAGCCCTCCAGATATACAGTGGGCATTTCATGGACAAGAAACAAACCTTTGTTTTGTAAAGCAATTGACAGCTTGGCGTTATTATCATGTCATAGTCTATTCTATCCTGATAAGTAAAAGGAGTTGCCATCTCTCTCCTAGTGTTCAGCAGAAATCTCTTAACTTTTTCACTTCCCCTCTATCCCCATTTCCCCTCATTTCTCTGCAGATCCTTGAAATTATTAGGAAAGCCTGATATTGGCTAAGATCTCTGATTTGAGTTAATCGATTTGACAGCAGTCCAATCCTATATGTTAGCTCCGTTTCTCATAAAATGATAGCTCTATTAAAATCCTTGTTTTCTGGGCCGGGCGCAGTGGCTCATACCTGTAATCCTAACACTTTGGGAGGCTGAGGCGGATGGATCACCTGAGGTGGGGAGTTCGAGAAACTCCGAACTCCCCTGACCAACATGGAGAAACCCCGCCTCTACTAAAATACAAAATTAGCCGGGCGTGATGACGCAGCCTGTAGTCCCAGCTTCTCGGGAGGCTGAGGCAGGAGAATCGCTTCAACCCGGGAGGCAGAGGCTGCAGTGAGCAAAGATCACGCAATTGCACTCCAGCTTGGGCAACAAGAGGGAAACTCCGTCTCAAAAAAAAAAATTTGTTTTCTTTTCCTTAAATTCCAACTAGCGGGCCTTAAGCTTACGAAGGGAATGCACGGTGCTCTATGTCTTCCACTGGCCCCAGTCAATCCACTTTCACCCTCACAGCTTTTCATCCCCAGTTTCATCTCTGCCTGGCTTTTCCCAAGAAGGCTGACTTACATGGAACTCACCAATAGGTTCTGGACTCTTTTGCCATCCAGTTTTTCTTTGGATTTGACCAAGGAGGAGCATGGAAAGAGATCAGAAAAAGGGAGGCGAAAGACTTTCCCCAGAACCTTGAAGCTGGCGGGGGGATGAATAACTCCTCCCTACTCATACCCAGTCCCAAGGCGCAAAGCCACTTACGTCATCAGCGTGCGTCAGCAAGACAGCAGAAGCAGGAAGAGAGGTGGCCTGAAGACCAAGAGAGAGGCGGCCCAGGTACTACGTAGCGGTTAGGTCAGTCTGAGACACTTCCTGTTTATAGGAGACTATAAAACCCCTGCCCTGTCCTCATTTGGGGCTGATGCCGTTTTAGGCCTCAGCCCGTCTGCACTCAGGCTCTCATTAAAACAGCTTGTTGCTTCACACTGCCTTGTGTTAGCCCGCTCTCCGGATTCAAACCGATACAAGAGCCTTGCAGGAGGAAGGAGAAGAAACTGTTTTTGGTGTCATAGCAGGTTAACTACATGCTTTTCTCTTTTCTTAGAGACAGAGTCTCACTCTGTCACCCAGGCTGGAGTGCAGTGGCATGACACTGACTCACTGCAACCTCGGCCTCCTGGGTTCAAGCAATTCTCCTGCCTCAGTCTGACCAGTAGCTGGGACTACAGGCACGCGCCACCATGCCTGGCTAATTTTTGTGATATTAGTAGAGGCAGGGTTTCACCATATTGGCCAGGGATCTGCCCGACTCAGCCTCTCAGAGTGCTGGGATTACAGGTGTGAGCCACCGTGCCCGGCCTTTGTGTGTGTGTGTGTGTGTGTGTGTGTGTGTGAGTCTCACTCCGTCGCCCAGGCTGGACTGCAGTGGCACGAACACAGCTCACTGCAGCCTTGACCTCCTATACTCAAGCGATCCTCCTGCCTGAGCTTCCTGAATAGCCAGGAACACAGGTGCGTGGCACCATGGCTGGCTAATTTTTATTTTTTGTAGAGACGGGGTCTTTCCGCATTGCCCAGGTTGGTCTCAAACTCCTGGGTGCACGTGATCCTCCTGTCTTGGTCTCCCAAAGTGTTGTGTTTACAGGCACATGAACCCAGAAAATCTGAGACAGGTCTCAGTTAATTTAGAAAGTTTGTTTTGCCAAGATTGAGGATGCGCCCATGACACAGTCTCAGGAAGTCCTGACAACATGTGCCCAAAGTAGTTGGGGCACAGCCTGGTTTTATACATGTTAGGGAGACATGAGAGCTCTGTCAGGCCTCTGAGCCCAAGCCTGCACTTATACATCATATAGTCTGAGGCAACTGAAGAACCACAAAAAGAAGTGAAAATGCCAGTTCCTGATGACATTACCTTGTGACATTCCTTCTGCTGGACAATAAGTCTCCGGAACTCTTCACCGAGCACCTTGTGACCCCCGCCCCTGCCTGCAAGAGAACAACCCCCTTTAACTGTAATTTTCTACCACCTACCCAAATCCTATAAAACTGCCCCACCCCGATCTCCCTCCTTTTTCCAACTCAAGACTCACTCCGCCTGCACCCAGGTGATTAAAAAGCTTTATTGCTCACACAAAGCCGGTTTGGTGGTCTCTTCACAGGGAGGTGCGTGACAATATCAATCATTATATGTAAGAAGTAAGTTGGTTTGATCTGGAAAGGGGGTGACAACTTGAAGTAAAGGCAGGAAGACTGAAGTGTAGGGGGAACTTCCAGGGCACAAATAGGTGAGACACAAATGGTAGCATTCTTTTGAGTTTCTGATGAGTCTTTCCAAAGAAAGCCATCAGATATGCATCTATCTTAGTGAGGGGAGGGATAACTTGGAATAGAATGGGAGGCAGGTTTGCCCTAAGCAGTTTCCAACTTGAGTTTTCCTAAGTGATTTTGGGGGCCCAAGATATTTTCCTTTCACATTTCACCTTTTTCTTTTTAAAAATCTTTTGGATAAAGGATTTTACAAAAAAAAAAAAAAAAAAAAAAAAAAGGCTCTGGTTTCAGGTTTCATCTGCCATCTTTCATGGCTAGAATGGTTTGTTCCTAGATGGGTAGGTCCCGAAAGTTCCTTTCAGCAGGTTGTGAAGTCTCCTGTCCTGTGAAAAGAAAATTAGGGGGAGAAAGGGGGAAAAACAACAAACAAAAGAACAATCCTGGAAAAATCGATATAGGCCACATTACTCTGAAGTCCATACATTAGTAGGTAGATGCGGAAGTGGCTCATGTATGTAAATTGGTTGCTGTTATTTTCTTCTGAAGTTTAAATTGTCTGGCTTCAGTTCTCATGGTTTGAAGAAAACACAGCTTAGATGTTAGTGATTCCAAATTAGGAAAAATGGAAAAAAAAAAAAAGAAAAAAATTGAAAACATTATTTTGAAGACTTGTAGCCAAGAAAAATTAGAATTTGGTCCAAACTGTAGAAAATAATAAAAATGGAAAAAAAAATTAGGCATGACTAGAATCTAACAGGTATATTATCGTTTTGAAATATTTTTTTTCTCTCTCCAGTTTCCCATTTTACTAAAGGCAAATGATGGTAGCACTGGTTTGCTTATTAGACTTGGCCTAATTATTTGTATATAGTGCAGCAGGAATAACTATTTTTACATAGGTTTTTAAATTGGCTTTGATGGAACTTTGTTCCATAGAAGGAAACTCAGATAAGACTTTTTAAAAGCCAAGCCCAGCCATGGATTTGTGCCATCAAATACTTATGACTTTCTCTCCTCTTGAGGTTCCAAGTTTAACCTGGGAGTTCTGTGCCTGTCAGAAAGTGGCATTCTGTTTTTACCACAGGTCAGAAACCCTGTACAGGGACTGTGTACACAAAATTTGAGGCCAGTTTTCCCAAGGGCTTTATTGGCTCCATAAGTCAATTTGACTCCAAAGCACAGCATTCCAAGCAAAGCCTTGGTAAAATAACCGATTTCTCCAATGTGCCCTGTTACAAATGAAAACAGATTCCTATTGCACTTATGCAAATAGCTGTATTGCCATAAGTTAAGAATATTCACAAATGGTTTCCAAATTCCAGAGAAATCAGTTAGAGAGAAACAAATATGCTCCAAATTTTGTTCATGGGAGTATACTAAATTGTTAAAAGCTGTCAGTAGCTCAAAAGAAATGTTTTAAGGGTCTGAAAAAACAAAGGATCAGTAAACACTTTTAAACAAAAAGTCAAAAAGATTGTTTCAGTCTATGCAGTTAATTCCTGTGTTCTGCTTTATACTCATGAATATTTTAGCTCTCCACGAGTTCTGAAAGTTTTTCCTACATTCTGATATCACAATCTACAAAGTTATTAGAAATCTGCATTTAAAATCACCTGTTGAAGTTTTATAGCTGATTATAAAACCACCCTCTAAAGAGGAACACAACAAGACAACAATTGTCCGTGGATGAAAAAGAAGTTTTAAGGCAGTCATAGTCAAAAGACACAATTGATGAGAAAATTTGTTACCTCTGTGGCACACAATGATTATAACAATTATGATTATTACTGATAATGAACGCTAAGTTATATCAGAATTATAGGAGTTTCCCATAATTTTGGAACACATATTAATAATATATTTATACAAATACAGCCCAAAGAAAACTAAATACCACTTTATATTTGACAATGCTTCCTGTATAATTTTTATACTAAATAAGCCAAATTATGTCATTTTTTGGTCTTTAGGAACCTAATGTCTTAAAGGATTAACTAGATTAGAAAAAGACATAATTTATAATTTGATTTTAGAAAGTTTGTCAAATATCAAAGGTTTAAAACACTTGATATTACAAAATAGGATTACAGGTCATTGTAAAGTCATTTATTTAACCAAAGTGATAATTCAAGTATTTTTTAAAAAAGAAAGTGAAAACCTTCATTCTCTGTGAAAAGAGACTTAATTTTCTAAACAAGCCCTAATAAAAACAGCATGAAGCCAATTACATTTGTTCTGCAAAATTTTGTAAACAATCTATAAAATTTAATCTTGATTATAAAATATAACTTCCATAAGCCTTTTATAACCTTTATAACCTTTATTAAGGTGTTGGTTATGCTTCTAGAAAACCTTCTTAATCTGACACAGGGATCCATATACTAGTTTTGCATCAGTGTGCCTTTGACACTAATGATTAATTTATAGAGAAACTGAACTTATTTTAACTTTCAAAATCGGCCCTTACAATCTTATGCGCCCACCTCTTTCACAGTAGTCCCTGAGCCTTGAGGCATTGAATAGCTTTAATTTCTTGCCCTGTATCTCAGGCATGCAGTTTATTTTGATTGGCATCTTCTATGGGGCCTGAAGATGAGGCTTTAATTGCCATCAGTGTTTAAGATTTAGCAGGACTTGATGTCCTTTTTAAACCTAGAAGTTTAAGCCCTGTAAGGTCAATGTTACAAGGACTTTAAAAGCATATATAGAGGCCGGGTGCAGTGGCTCACACCTGTAATCCCAGCACTTTGGGAGGCTGAGTCAGGTGGATCACCTGAGGTCAGGAGTTTAAGACCAGCCTGGCCAACATGGTGAAACCCTGTCCCTACTAAAAATACAAAAATTAGCCAGAAACGGTGGCAGAGACCTGTAGTCCCAGCTACTTGGGAGGCTGAGGCAGGAGAACTGCTTGAACCTGGGAGAAGGAAGTTACAGTGAGCCGAAATTGTACCATTGCACTCCAGCCTGGGGATAAGAGCAAGACTCTCTCAAAAAAATAACAAACAAACAAACAAAAAAACAAAAAAGCACCTACAAGAAGATACATGGATGTAATGACCTTTATTAAAAAAAAATTGTATCACTGAAACTTCTCTTATCGGAAAATTCCCAAATAATGAGATATCTATTATTTAATGTAATACAACTTTATATTCTAAATTATGACCAGTTTGTCTACAAGTATTTATCCCATTACATTTACCTAATTATTTATTTTAATAGTTTACCTAGTTTATGAAAAATGTGATAGTCATTATTTAAAGTTATGAAACCACCATGGCAAAATTATAACTGAGACAGTGAAAAACTTTTGACTTGACTCCATCTTGCTCTTGACCTCCAAGCTGTCCTTGTTCATTCCTGAACACAGGCCAAGCTAACTTTGGGAGAAACTTAGTTTATAGTTTAGCTTTGAAACAAAGACGGTAACCGTTCTTTCCCAAAACAAACCTCCTTATTG